TTCTTCCTGCAGGGACGGGGTCCCGCCATACCGGACCCGCAGGCAGCACCGCAGGGAGATGCAGGAGAGCATGCAGGCCAATGGGCGGGGGCCTCTCCCTCACATCCCTGTAAGTGCTCAGACCACGCATGGTGCCCGCCTGTCCTCTGAGTACGTGTGGCCACACCTGCAGGCGAGGCAGGCCCTGAAGCAGGTGTCCTGGTGGCTTCTGCTGGCTGCTGTGAGGCGGACTGCGTCGGTCCCCCCAGGTTCTGTTGAGAGGCCTGGCATGTCTGTCTGTGCGCTCCGATTTGTGTGTGGGGTGCCGTGTGGTGCCAGGTGAGGGGAGGGACCTGCTGTTGTTGGCTGCATGGAGCCCAGAGGAGCATCTCGACTCTGGGCCCCTCAGCACGCCTCCTGGGTAGGAGCTCGCGGGCTCCATGGGCTTTGCTGCTCTGTGGGTATAGAGCCGCATGCAGAGGGAAGTGGGGCACAGACAGGAGCCCCCACAGAGGGCAGCCACTCAGAGGGGAGCTGTGTGGTATGTCTCCATCTGCAGAGTGGCGAGTTGCTGTCCTTACTCTGACGTGGAGTTTGGACAGAGTGACTACAGGGAGACGGGAGCAGCTCCCAGGGCCCCAAGGGGAGCCGTTGCAGACTCATCACAGGTCTGTACAGGGCAGTGGGCGTCTCCAGGGGCACCCACACTCGTGGTCGGGGGCAGTCTCGGCTTTCCTGCAGGCGACTTAGTTTCCATCTCAGGAATGCGATTGTCCCTGGCGGAGGAGAAAGGATGTTCAGTCCTTCTGAGAAAGGGCACTCAAGCTCTGCGTCCCCCAGGTGACGGCCTCAGCACATGTTTGTCCTGAATGAGAAACCAGTGATGTCTTTTCTTGAAGAGTAGGTGGTCCTCCGGGCAGTGCAGGGACGTGCATGTGGGAAGTGCCCTCCAGCCCTCAGCACAGAGTTCCCCCACGTGTGGACTGGAGCCCTGCCTGTCACGGCTGGTGGGTGCCCTTCCCATGTGCTGCTGAGGCCGGGTGCCGGCCTGCTCACTGCTGAGGCCGGGTGCCGGCCTGCCGGGGCCGGGTGCCGGCCTGCTCACTGCCGAGGCCGGGTGCCGGCCTGCTCACTGCCAGGGCCGGGTGGTGTCCCACGTGCACCAGACGCACCCTGAGTGCTCCTGGACAGGGGCCAGGGTGCTCGGTGGAGCTGCTCCCACACCTGAAGGCCTGCATCCCGCACAGCCCAGGGCATCTGCGTCTGCCCCCATTGCTCCCTCCCACAGCAGCTCACGAAGCTGCACTGGCCCAGCGTAGCCCTTGGTGACCGAGGCTTCTCAGACACCCGCCCCACTCCATGGTGCTGGGCAGCAGCACCGTGTTAGATCTGCGGCCGGGCAGTGGGTCGGGCACTGTGGGAAGCACCCGCCAGCCTTCAGCACAGAGG